TGCGTGTGCTTGTGATTGTCACTGTTGATGTGTGTGCGCTTCCTAACGCTGTGTGTTTGTGTTGCAGGTGGAGCGGTGCTGTCAGGGAGGCCGGCTTGGCAGGCTGGGCAACGTGCCCACCCCATCGGCGGTGCTTCACTGCTCCATGGGTCAGTGTACATTCGTGTGTGTGTGTGTGTGTGTGTGTGTGTGTGTGTCTGTCTGTGTGTGCGTCGTGTGTGTGTCTGTGTGTACCTTCGTGTGTGTCTGTGTGTACCTTCGTGTGTGTATGTGTGTGTTTGTGTCTGTGGATGGTTTGTAATGATGTGCAATGCCCCGCGGCACAACCCCTACCACCATCGCCTCCACGACCATCACCTCCACGACCATCACCATCATCACCATCAACATCATCATCCACAGCCTACTGACATTCAGCAACAACCCCCACGAACCCCCCCCCCCCTTTTTTTTTTTTTGGTTCTTCACGTATGTGCACGTAGGAGCACCAAGGTGTGTGTGTGTGTGTGTGTCTGTCTGTGTGTGCGTCGTGTGTGTGTCTGTGTGTACCTTCGTGTGTGTCTGTGTGTACCTTCGTGTGTGTATGTGTGTGTTTGTGTCTGTGGATGGTTTGTAATGATGTGCAATGCCCCGCGGCACAACCCCTACCACCATCGCCTCCACGACCATCACCTCCACGACCATCACCATCATCACCATCAACATCATCATCCACAGCCTACTGACATTCAGCAACAACCCCCACGAACCCCCCCCCCCCTTTTTTTTTTTTTGGTTCTTCACGTATGTGCACGTAGGAGCACCAAGGCACTTGCAGCGGGACCTGCTGGAGTCGCTTCCCGATCCCTTTGTCATGCACGTTCCCGTTGGCGGCCTGTAAGTTACCTCCTATGCAACCAATCATCACCCACCTCAGCCCAAGAGCATTCACATGCCTCACTGGCTCACTCTCTTGCTCAACCACTCACTAACACACTGTCACTTCGCACGCTTGCCCATGTACAACCCCTCTTTTGATTCGCCAGCGTGGTGGAGCCTGGTCCAAGTACCATGGAGAAGTATGGTGACACGTATGCTTCCTTCGCCAACCTGCCTGGGGTCGTACTCTTCTCTGCCTTTGAGCCAGGACGACAGCCACCAGATCAGCGTAACTCCGATTCACAGATTTCCATCTGGACCCGAGTCGGCCGGCAAAAGGTGGGTGTGCCACTCTGCACTTAGATAGAACATGTGAGTGAGAGTGTGTGTCTGTGTGTGTGTGTGTGTGTGTGTGTCTGTGTGAGTGAGTGTGTCTGTGTGAGTGTGTGTGAGAGTGAATGAGTGTGTGTGTGTGTGTGTGCGTGTGTGTGAGTGTGTGTGCGCGCTGTACGTTGTGGACGGACTGATGATGTCTGTGACACTCTGAGGGGTCTGCATTTGCATCGTCCTTGCCAGCAAGGATGACCTTCACACTGGACAGTGCATTTGCTGACAAGATGCACTTTCGGTCCTCGCTCACGCACACTGCAGGTTGGCACGAAGCTGTATGCGAGGCTGCTTCGCGCGTGCTCGCCGGCAATTGCCGTTGCACTGCCCGACGTTCAGTCGTCACACGTCAGCGACCGCCGACACACGTACGCGTAGGGGGGGGGGGGTACCATATGATGTCACGACCACGTCTGCAACTGCATGCCGCCTGAACCCTTCCGCACAATCATTTCTTCTGCGATGCTCGCCCGTTCGTGTTGAAGTAGGGTCAGCCTAAACTCTTTGTTTGGGTGCCGCGTTGACTGCACCATGACACACAAACAGACAAACGCACAGCTCACGTGCACCACAACCGTGCATCTGCCACCACAACAGCAAGGCCGTCCAGCGCACCTCGCGTTACGTGCAGCAGCTGCACGATGAGCTGGGCACCACCACCACTACAACCAGCACGACACCACAGATCTGGGCGCCGATTGTCGGCGGGCGCTCTCCAGAGATCCGCCAGCAGGCCGCGCAGGCCCTCGCCGCCGACACCAACGTCCAAGGTCTCGCCTTGCGTGAACGAGGGGAAGGACAGAGTGACATAGTGCGCGCAGCATGTGTATGTGTGTGTGTGTGTGTGCTTGTGTGTGTGTGTGTGTGCTTGTGCGTGTGTGTGTGTGTTGGTGTGATTGATGTTTTGAACAAGCCATGTCATACTGCCATGACTTGCGGTCATGCAGGTTTTACGCTCGAGGGTCTCAACACCGGTGAAACGTCGCAGGAAACACTCAACGCACTTGAGTGCATGAAGGTGGGACCATGAACACGGCCTGTCCTGTTACGCGCGTGTGAATTGCGTCTCCGTTCACTCGTACATCCGTGCTCGTCCCTTCACTGAAACATACACCTTCTGACACACACTCACTCACTCACTTGCTTTCGTCTGTGCATTCACGCCACCCCACAACAACCGTTCCCCCTCGCCCTCCACAAATGTGCACCAGGAGCTGCCTGCGTCAAAGCCGCGGCTCGTGCACGGGATCTCGCGTCTTGACGAGATCATTGCCGCCATCGAAGCAGGGGCAGACCTCTTTGGTTCGTGCAGGCAGTGACACAATGCCTGCGTGCTCGCAGTTTGATGCCCATGATGTCGGTGCAGTTTGGTGCGGTTTGGTGCTCCATGGCCTCATCGCAACGATAAAATGCTGTTCTCACCCCCCAATCTCCGATCGTGCGTGCGGCTGTTGTGTGAGCCAGATAGCCATTTTTGCTACGAGAAAGCAGAGGATGGGCATGCATTTGTGCTCGACCTTGAGACGCCACCACAGGCCCCAAACCCGAACCCGCTCTTCATTGACCTGTGGTCCGACCAATACCAGGTGTGTGTGTGTGTGTGTGTGTGTGTGTGTGTGTAGGTGTGTGTAGGTGTGTGTAGGTGTGTGTGTGTAGGTGTGTCTGTGTGTGTGTTTTCGTTTGTGCCTGTATATGTGTATGTATGTGTGTGTTTCCCTGCCTAGCTGCCTATCCGCCTGCCTGCCTGCCCCTCCTTCCCATCTGTTCGCCTGTGTATGCGCGGGCTTACATCTGCTGCGCTGCCTTGCGGTTGACAGACGGACATGACTCCGCTGCTTCCTGGATGTCAATGTTACGCATGCACAAACTTCACACGCGCGTACATCCATCACCTCCACCTCACCCACGAAATGCTCGGCACCGTTCTCCTCACCCTGTACGTCCGTTCATGCGCGCTGACGTTCGCGTGGAGACACGTGTGTGTGTGTGTGTGTGTGTGTGTGTGTGTGTGTGTGTGTGTGTGTGTGTGTGTGTGTGTGTGTGTGTGTGTGTGTGTGTGTGTGTGTGTGTGTGTGTGTGTGTGTGTGCCTATGGTCGTTGAGTGGTGTAATTTTCCTTCTCGTGTGTGTGTGTGTGTGTGTGTGTGTCCATGTGTGAGCATGTGTGCATCTGTATCTGTGACGTCTGTGCGTGCGTATGTGTGACTGTGTGTCGACCATGACCATGAGTGCAAGCTGTTTGCCGTGTACCTGCCGTGTACCTGCCGTGTACCAGCTGTGTACCGCAGCTCACGCCCTGCGTTTGTTTCACAACCAACACTTGCTTCTTGGTGGCCTTGCTCATCCACAAAGGCGGAAACACCTGCACAGAAAACGTGAGTTGGTTACCGCCTGTGAGTAACATGTTGTCGTGGCTTACTTGCGTCTCGTCATCGTCATGTGTGGGCTTGGTCCATGCGCCACCATGGACTCGCACGCACACACACGCACACACACGCACACGCCCACATACAAACACGTAAGCACACGCACAAACACATAAACACACACACACATGCATGCACACATTGAGCAATGTCACCGCCGTTCAGTGTGCTCCACGTCACCTGGTCCTCATGAACGTTCGTTTCGTTACACGTTCTGTGCATGCAGCGAGGATGAGCGAGGTGAGCGTGCTGAAGAGCATAACAACAGCGACCGCCGCCGCTCCCGCAGCCCTGAACGCCGTCACTCCCGCAGCATTGAACGGCGACGTTCCCGTAGTCCTGAGCGCCGGCGTACCCGCAGCCCTGGTCGGCGACATCGGCGGTCACGCAGCCCCCGACGCCGT